CGCGGGACTGACCCGGGCGCCCCGCCCGGAGGCCCGGCCCGATCCCGCGTTCCGCCAGGTTCCCGGCGGGCCTAGTCTCCTGTTCCGGCTGGGGGGCCCGGCTCGCATCTGCCTCTTCCCGCCCTGGGCGTCCAAAGGGCGCAGAGGCATCTTCTGTGGGTTCAGAGGCCTTTCAGGCAGGTGTCCAGCGCGGTCATGTTCTCAATGCCTGAGCTCAGGGGTGGGTGGCGGGCCAGGCACGGGAGTCGCCAGGGCTGCCGGCACTGGGCATTGCCTAGCAAGCTGCTCAGCCCCCTCCCACTCCCGGAGCCCCCCTGCCACCCGCCTGGCCATTTGTCCTTCATTCTGCCATAGCTCGTGGCTGAGGAGGCCAGGCAGCACAGAGCTGGGAGAGAGCAGTGGGTTCCCCCGACTTCTGTCTGGGCATCATGGAACCAGATGGCTGCTGATGTGGATGGTTCTGGTCCTGGGTGACCCGGTATTCTCATTCCCGTTTGACCTCTGCTGTGTGCTGGACAAGCCGTTTCTAGCCCTCTCTGAGCCTCTCTGGTCAGCTGTTCCGATCAAGTCACTCAGTAGACCCTCCACAGAAGGTCTGTTGCACAATGAGAGTGGGGCTTCATCTGACACCTGCGGGCCAGAGCCAGGTCTACACGGGTTATGATTCTGAGTTCATTATCAAATGTAGATTTTTACCTGTAGGCTGGATTTCTGGCTTTTCTTGAAACATGGGACTTTTGAGCAGCAGTGAGTGACAGCAGGCAACAGCAGGAGCCTGTGAGCTTCCCAGTCCCTTCCGTTCCTGGGTTCCACCCAGGCAGGCCCCTGGAGGCAGCCGGCTAACTCCCCATGACCCCATTTCACACAACTGGAGCTCAGGGACCTGCCCCAGGCCTGCAGTCCCAGGCAGGGGAGGGGTGGGGAGGGAACGGTGTGTCCCACAGAGTTGGATTTCTAAGTGCTGAGGGCCTGGGCCTGGGCCTGGAGCCCATTCAGACCCTCTGAAGGCCACTGTGCAAGAGCTGGAAGGGGTTCCTCTGCAGCAAATGGCACTTCTGGGTGAGTCATGCCTGGTTAAGGCCTCTGGTCTGCCCACCCCGGCCCGAGGACCCCAAAGAGACCCTCTCCTTGGAAAAGAGGCAGGTTGCAGAGGCTTTTCCTCTGGTGTGTCAGCAGGGAACTGGCAGGCAGGGGGCCGTGAGCCATGAGAGGGCCCACGGTGCTAACACTCTGCCCCCCCCCCGGAAAACAGCCCCACTGGGCGCTCCCGGAGGGAGGCGGCCCAGGGCTGGGGAGGGAGCACTGGAAGAGGGGTCCTGAAGCTTGTCTCTGTCCAAGCCTGTGCCCCAGGCATGCCCATCCACACTGCAGTGACCAGCTACTGTGTGTGCCTCCCTGGCTCAGCTTCCTTCTGCTCACAGTCTGGTTTCCCAGGGCATGTTCTGGGACTTCTGGTGGAACCACTGGGAAAGCAGCAGCTCTCTGTGCTCGTAGGATGTCAGCCTGGGGCTGGTGGAAGAGGCAACCCAGAGGAAGAGAGGCAGATTCCTAACCAAATCCCAGGCGCCTGGAGCCAGCGGTGCCGGAACCTGCAATACCTGAACTTCCTTGGCTACATAACCCAATAAATGCCTCTTTCTGATTAAACCAAACATCTTTCTGCCACAACCAAGGAAGTTCCAATAGGCATGCCCTCTCTAACTGAGAGGTCTGGGCCACAGACTACCCTTATCTTGAACAAAGAAGTCCTGACACTGTCTAACTACTCCAGCATTTCCCAAACTTCTTTCTCCACTAACTGGGCCTTTTTAGAAGTGGCTGTTCATGTATGAGAGAAATGCATCTTGGCGAGGGCCCCCCAGGGACCTTGAGGCCCCTCCCCCATGGCTGTCCTGCCCGGAGTACTCTCCCAGCCCTGCTGGCCTTAGGCCGGAGGATGCAGGACGGCCACGACAGGCAGGGGGTGGGGGGCTCCTAGGACAGGGGCGGCTCAGCGCCTGGGTGTGGGGGAGGGAGTGAGCTGCCCGGCTGCTCCGTCCAGCAGGGCCCTCTCAGCCTCTGCTTAGAGAACTGGCATGCCCTGTGGACAGTCACAGCCCACGCAACAGAGATCACACAGGAACGGTCTGTTTGTTTGTTTATTGTGGAGTATTTCACATGCAGGGTCCCAAACTAGAGAGACACTATCTGGCAGCAGAGGCAGCAGATGGGCGGCCGCTCTGGTGCCGCTGACCCGCCCTCCAGACCGGCCCCGCCCGAAGAGACACAGGACAGTGACGGAGCGCTAGGCTGGGGGCAGCCAGACAGCAAACCTGAGAACCCTCACAAATTAAGTGCAAACTTGAGGAAATAAATATCCATCTCCCGTTCTCCAGGATCGCCTGGAGAGACGTGGTGACACTCCAGGTTGACAGCTGTCCCTGGGCGCCCCAAGCACAGGAAGGGTGGGAGCTGGGCACCAGGAGAGGTGGGCACTGCGGGGGCGTCTTCTGGGCCCACACACACAGCCTGGGTGGTGAAGCTGGCTCTTCCCACGTAGGGGACCCACAAGAGGACCAGAGTCCTGACAGCAGGCAGGGCAGAGACTCACAGGCTGGCGGAGGGCGCGGGGTTCCTGGAAGCTCTCCCTTGCTGGCTTGAGCCCCCTCCAACTATCCAGAAGGTTGTGCCTGACTGAGTTAGAAGCGTGCAGAGGCCAAGTGGGGGTGCAGTGGCAGGAAGGAGGAGGAGCCCGAGTGTGGGTACCCGGCCACCCAGCCCTCATCCCCACCCTCCCGCTGAGGCCCTGAGTGACAGCGCAGGCCCCACGCCTCCCTAGGCCCCCCTGCTCTGCACTTCTGGGTGAGGAGGGGATGGGTGGTGAGCCAGGGCCCGGTCCAGGGCAGACAGCATGGTCGCTCACACAGAGGGGCTGACAGACAGACCGACAGGAGGACAGACAACGGACGACAGTCCCCTTTCCCTCCAGCGTGGGCCAGCAACACACCGCTCAGCTCTGTGGCCCCTTGTCCCGCCGACAAGGAGGTCAATCGGGTCTTGGCTGGGCCCAGCCTGCTCGGCCTGCTTGGTGCCTGGGGGCCCCGGCGGGGGCTGCTCTGGGGCAGGCTGGCCAAAGGCCCACCGGTGCCCCGGGGGGAACTGCACACAGTGCATCTGCTGCTGCCCACTGGCCAGAAAGGCAGACGGGAGATGGTTAGTTTTCACACCTCAGCACACAAAGAACACAGAAAAGGTTAAACACATCCTCAAGAAAATATTTTGACAAAATAAATAGTTTAACCTATAATCAGGTATAATTAGTGCTTATAAGGAATCCCAGCGATGATTTAGTGTAATTAAGAACACACTGTATCGGTGATCCCTAACACTGGAGGGGAGGCTGGTGGCTCTGAGGGTCTCCTTCTCCCAGGCGGGAGGCTCTGGCCAGGGGTCCGAGGCAGGCAGCCTCATGGCCACGCACCCCAGACGGAAGGGAAGGGTACCAGCACGAGGGCCCAGGGCGTCTACGGCCTCAGGACAGGAAGGGCTGAAGCACCTGTCAAGGGCATCTCAGCCTCCAGGTTGGGGCTTAGCCCTTCAGGGGCAGCAGGCCGGCTCCTCCCTCAGTGGACGCCAGGCCTAGCTCAGGGGTGCCGCGGCTCTGCAGGACAGACCACCTGAGGCCCAGCTGCCTCCCCACAGGCTGGCAAGGTACCCGCTCGCACAGGCACGCCCTCCAGACTGTGCCATAGGGCTGGGCACACGGGCCATCCCAGCCCCCTTCTCTGCAGCCGGTGTCAGGCCAGCCGACTTCAGATGTCTTAGCATCCAAGCTGGCCTCAGGGCCCTGCCCTTGGGAAACGCTGAGGAGGGAGGTGCAGGCTGACCGGGAGCAGGGCTGGGGATGGTGCAGGCCTGGCAGGTGCTGCCGGGGGCAGGGCTGGGGTCAGGTCACCTGAGTGCCAAGAAGAAGCTTTCTGGGCGTCCTCTGAGGACTGGAGAGTGAGGGTCCCAGCCAGACCCCGAGCGACTCTGGAGGAGTCTGCAAGGTGCCAGGCTGGGTGTGGGTTCTGGCGTGGGCAGGGCTGCACCCTCCACTGCAACTGCCCTGTTGGTGCCGCACACGGCCCTTCAGCCTCATCCTAAATACTTCCCTGGAGCCCGCATGTCAGGCCTAGCCTTGTCTGCCAGGTTGGGTCACCAGGTAAGCAAGGCTGACCACACCACAGGCCAGGAACAGCCAGAGTCGGCCAAACTTTGCCCCTATGCTCGGGCGGCATGTGCTGAACGATGACCCGGGGCCAGGGGCCCCCAAGCTGGAGTAAAGCAGCTGAGGCAGCCACTGCCCTGCCGGACAAGAGCATAGGGTGGGGGGGGGGCCTGGACCACTGCCTGCCCCTACCAGAGAGGGAGACGGTGACACAGTGAGGACCCAGGATGTGAGGGGGTGGGGCGGAGGCGGTCAGGCTGTCAGGACAGCCTGCAGGGGAGGCTGAGGCCCACATGCAGGAGAGTGCAGGGGCCTTCTTCGAGAGAGGCTGCTAGGTCACTGGGATCTCCGCGTGGTGCAAACCCCCTGCCGCTGTGCCTGGGAGGTGGCACAGAGGCTGCCACAGGCCAGGCTGAAGCACATTCACAAACACAAAGCTCCCAAGCAGGCCAGAGCCAGCCCTCCCGGTGCCTGCCCCCCCACGGACTGGCCGACCGCACGGGGCCTGCAGTGTGGTCACCAAGGCAGAGCTGACCAGCCAGGGGCCCGCCAGCCAGAGTGATGCACTGCCCTCCCACTCTCCTCACACCAGGAGCTTGCGGGCCCGGGGGGACCCCTTGGTCCCAGGCTTGGCTCCTGAGCCGGCTTGGATGTGGGCCTGGGCAAGCAGCTCAATGAGAGACCCCACCGAGGGCGCCCCCCAGAGCCTTCTAAAGTGCGACACTCTCCAGGGAGCAGCAGTCCAGGGAGGGAGACTCACCCTTTCTGGGACAGAGGTGGGGTGGTGCAGGGGAGCTTCTGGGGTGGGGGAGCCGGGGGGAACTGCTGAGCCAAGCAGAGGCCCAGGGGTGAGGGAAGGGGCTGGGGTCTGACCCCTTTCTCTGGGCAGGTGGCAGAGGAAGGGCTCAGGAACAGTCCCAAAGGGACTCCCCTGCTGCCAGCTCTTCCTGGTAGGAAACGCAGAGGGTGCTCGTGGGTGGGAGAGGCAGAGGGCGAGGGCGAGGGGCTGTGGCTGCACTGACACCGTCCCATCGCCCACAGAGAAGGTAGCTAAAGCTGGCCCTCACTGGTGGGAGGCCTGGGAGCAAACACAGTGGCGTTTCCATGGAGACACCAGGACCAAGTCGGGGCTGGGGATGGGGGGGTGGGGCTGGTGGGGACAGGAAGCCAGAGGTGACCTGCCACCTGGGGAGCCCGACCACAGGACAGCTCACAGGGCGAAGAGGGCATCCTCTGAGCGCTCTGGCTTCTTCCTGCTGGAGGGGTTTGAGGCTGGGGCCGGGGCTTCCGCTGGGGGAGAGGGGAGGTTGGGAACCATTTCGGCAGCTTTAGCCCTTTCTTCAAGGAATTTATCGAACTCTGCAATACAAAATAAGGCCGGGCTGGGATTGGTCGGGGCTCGGCCCCATCGAGGGTACAACAGTCCCCTCCCACCTGCTACCCACAGAGGACCCAACCACCCCGCTCCCCAGCCCGCCACTGCCAGGGAAACACAGAGTGGGCCACAAGCTGGTGGGGTCGGGTGGGAGGGGGCAGCTGTGATTCCTGCCCCACCACTGACCTGAAGCTCTTCCATGGTCCAGACCAGCACTGGGAGAGCTGGAGGGGTTGTTCCCCCTTAAACTTGGCAGGAAACATGCACCCACCCCCCTCACCCACCAAGCGGGGCTCTGTGCCCACAGAGGGTCTGACCAGGTGGCCTGGCAGAGTTAGGGGGAGCAATGGGAGGGCAGAGGGGTGAGAGGAGGTGGGGTGGGGGGCCGTCACAGGGACTTCCCCCCCAAGACCCATCCGCTGCCTCCACTGCTGACTGCATGGCATGTGTCTTGCAGGTAGACTGGGCATTTGGGGGCAGGTACAGACTGGCCAGGGGTATAGGTCTGGGGTCATGCAGACCTGGGAGGGCAATCTGTACCCACTGTTCACCAGCCCTGTGACACCTCCGCCCTCAGCACAAGGCCGGGGTGGGACGGAGCCGAGGAGCCCTAGAGGGGAGGCCCACCCAGGCTGGCAGGGGACAGCCTGGAGACAGAGCAGCAAAATGAGGGGATGTTGGGGAGGCGCCGCTGCCAGGCCTACCTTCGCTGGTGACGCCCTCCTCCAGGTCATCGCCCCTCTGTGGGAGGAGCAGAGAGAGGGCGTTAAGGCCCGCCCGCCCTGCTGCCTCCCCCGGCAGCCAGCGGCACCCCCAGGGTGCAAAGCTTCCTACTTCCTGTCCCCAGGGTTCTGCGTGAGCAAGTACTGTTCGACTTACTGGAGAAACAGAAACTTTGATTTTAAAAAACAAAAACAAACAAACAAAAAAAGCGGCATAGGTTCTAGGTTTTGGTCCTCCAAAAGGGCCAGAAAGAAAAATCCAAAATCAGGTGCAGGCTGGTTGTCCGGCTGTGCCCAGGGCCCACCAGGTGCCCCTCCACTCAGCGTCCCCTCTCAGCCAGCCGGCAACTGCAGGGTGTTGGGAGGTCACTGTCTGCACCAGCAGCTGGGAACCGTGTGAGGCCTGGAAGGGCCAGAGCTGTGGAGCCCACAGCACAGGGCCGGACCTTGGCGGTGCTCGGGCACAGGAAGGAGGCCGTTCGGCCAGGGCCTCCTAGGAGCTGCACCAGCCTCCTCCTTGGCCCTGATTCTGTCACCCAGGAGGCTCTGGAATCTCTTAATAATGAGAGTGGATCAGACTGGATTTTGTTTGGGGAACGTGGGGGCCACTGGGAACTCTGCGGAGACGGTGTTGGGTAAGTGGACACTGCTCTGGGTGAGGCAAGGAGGCCAGGCTGCCTTCCTGGTTCTGCCAATGACTCGCTGTGTGTCCAGCTGGGAGATCCCTGCCGTGGACCGTGGGTCCCCTTTGTGAGGTGAGGGCCTTGGCCTCCCAGCCATGCTTCTGGGAGAGGAGCAGTTCCTTTTCAGACATTCCCTTGGGAAACACACGATGGGGCACCTCTTCCCCCGGGCAGGGCACCGGGTGGCTGCTTACAGGGCAGTGTCTTCGGAAAGCCTGGCCTTCTGGGGAGCTGGCCTGGAGCGGCAGGAGGCCCTGACCGAGGTCTGCTGTCCTGGTGTGAGGTGAGGCTGTCAGCAGCCACGGCCAGCCAGGCCGACCCTGTGGTTAAGAGCTGCTCTGCTCCGGGGACAGGGACTCCAGGTCTCAGGGGGTCTGACCAGCCATGGCCTTGGACAGGCACTTCCCCTCCCAGAGCCATTTCCTCTCCAGCCCCGCCAACAGCCCAGTGGCCCCTGCACAGAGTGCTTTGTGGGGCATGGAGCGGGACCGGCCACTGCAGCCCTCCTCTCTCAGGACCCGCTGCCACTTGTAGATGCATGAGGTCCTAACCCTCCTGCCCATCTCTGGGGATAAAGACCATGGTCTCTACGGCCATTAAATCCAAGGTATCAGGAGATGCTGGGGAGGGGGTGACAGTGAATTTAAATACACGTTCGCTCATCTCTGTGTGTATTTCACAATTAAAAGAAAAAAAGGCTCTGTGTATGTTTCACAATCGAAAGAAAAACATCCCCCAAAACCCAAAATA